TTCATTCCAGTTCATTTGTATGTAAAACTTCATCCCAGTTCATTTGTATGTAAAACTTCATTCGAGTTCATTTGTATGTAAAACTTCATTCGAGTTCATTTGTATGTAAAACTCCATTCCAGTTCATCTGTATGTAAAACTTCATTCGAGTTCATTTGTATGTAAAGCTTCATCCCAGTTCATTTGTATGTAAAACTTCATCCCAGTTCATTTGTATGTAAAACTTCATCCCAGTTCATTTGTATGTAAAACTTCATTCGAGTTCATTTGTATGTAAAACTTCATTCGAGTTCATTTGTATGTAAAACTTCATCCCAGTTCATTTGTATGTAAAACTTCATTCGAGTTCATTTGTATGTAAAACTTCATTCGAGTTCATTTGTATGTAAAACTTCATCCGAGTTCATTTGTATGTAAACCCCATTCCAGTTCATTGAGACGCAAAACTCCATTCGAGTTCATTTGTATGTAAAACTTCATTCGAGTTCATTTGTATGTAAAACTTCATTCGAGTTCATTTGTATGTAAAGCTTCATCCCAGTTCATTTGTATGTAAAACTTCATCCCAGTTCATTTGTATGTAAAACTTCATCCCAGTTCATTTGTATGTAAAACTCCATTCCAGTTCATTTGTATGTAAAACTTCATTCGAGTTCATTTGTATGTAAAGCTTCATCCCAGTTCATTTGTATGTAAAACTCCATTCCAGTTCATCTGTATGTAAAACTCAATTCCAGTTCATTTGTATGTAAAGCTTCATCCCAGTTCATTTGTATGTAAAACTTCATTCCAGTTCATTTGTATGTAAAGCTTCATCCCAGTTCATTTGTATGTAAAACTTCATTCGAGTTCATTTGTATGTAAAACTTCATTCGAGTTCATTTGTATGTAAAACTTCATTCCAGTTCATTTGTATGTAAAACTCCATTCCAGTTCATTTGTATGTAAAACTCCATCCCAGTTCATTTGTATGTAAAACTTCATTCGAGTTCATTTGTATGTAAAACTTCATTCCAGTTCATTGAGACGCAAAACTCCAGTTCATTAACATCAATTGGTATTGTGGTTGTTAACTAGGCTAATAGAATACAATGGATCACTGCTAACCACTATACACTCTGATACATTTTACAATTTATTGCGTCTAATTAAATCACAAGCCAATTAAATCTTCTCTCGTCCCGAGAAATTACACTTCACCTAATTTGATTAAAGCTATATTTATCATTTAACATATCTAATCAGATTACTGTTGGAATTAGGTCGCGGTGATGTCAATCGCGCAGATTAGAATACCAATAGCTTGGCTTTTTATGCTTGTAATCTCTGCCTACGGACATCACACTTTCTATATGTTCTGTATGTTCTCTCTGTCTAAGGTGGTTATATAGACAGAACATAAGCAAGGATTGCTAGCATAGAAGCCAAGCTGCAAAAGTCCCAATTACTCCAGCAGGCCATGTCTTTAGAATAAAGCCATTGACTTCCTAAGATTGCTTTCCACCGGCCATCGAGCCAGAAGGGCTCCGAAAACAGATACTTTAATGAGACACCTGACGCCTGTCTGATTGAGCGGTGAACTTTCTTTGCAAAACAAGAGATCTGGAGAGACACGATCCATTAGGCTGTCCCCACTTTCGAAGGCTCTTACAGGGCAGAGAATGAACAACCGAGAACACCAGCACCAAACCTAGACAACGACTTCACCGGTCGCCACTGTGGCTGGAAATGCCTGTTCCACAATGGGTTTGTCAGCCATATATGCCCCGACGTACAGCCAACTTGGACATGCTGATGAATGCCGAAATAACACGAAATAATGATCTGTATGAGATTGACATTTTCCACTAGACATGTTAATAACTATATTGACTCTCTGAGGGAATGCAAAATGTATTATAAATGATTATGTTAACTATGTGGACATTCTGAAAGGATTTTTAGTTCACGGTATAAAATTAACAAATATGTAGATCCCTGGATGAGATATGCGAACTAAATGATAACAGTATGAAACCATATTCGACGTTTGAGCAAGTAATGTTGCATCAAAATTCCAGTTCCCTCAAATGATATCTAAACATACTATCAATGGAAGGGAAGCAACTCTATTAAAAACATATATTACAGACAACAAAAAGCCAACAATTTAAGTAACTCAATAGTAGGTCGGTAGGGATATTTGATGATTCGTTTAACGAAAAAAATGTAAAACGTTGAATATATTTTATTTTTTAAAAATTTATAGGACGCTTTAGACGTTAGATATTCCGTTAGTATTTCATTTTATGTCAAAATGTGTGTACCAGTACGCAAACAAACAAAAAATATCTTCTGGAGCAAGGCTCGTTTTCAATAATAACTTGTACCGGCTTGAACATTATATCATGAAAGGTCACCACGCAATCTCGCCTTAGTATGTATCGCCATGTTGAATTGTAATTTTAGAGTGAATTCCACCTCAAATATACTCCGTTTATATGTTTTCTCTTTACGTTTTTAACGTTTAGTCAGAATCATTTTCAATATTGAAACCCAAACTAAGGCAGGGAAGAAAATGTATGTCATTTTCGAGAAAGACCCGCTTGAAATTCACAGTAGAAATCGCTGGGAGTTGTGGCGTGCTCCTGTAATCCAGCTACTTGGAGGTTTGGGGTGGAGAACGGTTTGAGGGCGGGGGTTCTGCTCTCAGGTGCGCTATGTCGATCGGGTGTCCGCACTAAGCCCGGCATCAATATGGTCTCACTCGGGGAGCCGAGAGTTACCAGGTTGTCTAAGGAGGGACGATCCGGCCCAGGGCGGAAACGCAGCAGGCAAAAGTCCCCGTGTCGCGCAGTAGTGGGATCGCACCCGTGAATAGGCATCTGTTGGTAGCCTGTCCGATATAATTGGACCCATTCCTTTTTTCCAAAATTTACCTGATACTTCTTATAAATATTGTCCCAATTCTTGTTGAAATTTTATCCTATCCAGCTTATGTTCTTCAGAATAAATCAAAATATAAAAATTGATTTTCAAGGGAGTTAATCCCGACCACAAATAAATTCAGTTGAATATTTCTAAGGGAGCTAAGCGGTAGTAGCAATTCCAGACCACAATCAACTATACAGTAAATTGATATTTTGTTATTTTCAAGGGAGTTAATTACATAAAAATAAAATCAGGCTACAATTAACTCGAAGCTATTCAATTGAATATTTAAGATAGCTATCTATAATCATTTAATCATTTGACGCTTGGTTCATATACAATTAAATTAAAATTTGATATCATATTGATAGGCCCTACCAATGTTTGATGTTTGTATAACCAACGAAATTGATCCAGTATTTTCTTGACGAAAACATATAGAACATAGATAAATCGTTACGGAGAAATAGATCCTTCTCAAGCCTAAAGCCCTGTACGTAACCATAATCTTTGCTATAATGATATAAAATAAACTTAGATCGTTCCGGGCCATAACTATATATAGGATAACAGGTAAATACCGCATGGCGAATTTGACAAACAATATAATTTATCAAAAAGAAATTTTGTTAAAATAATTGTAAAATAAGCATATTATATTATGGTTTTTGCGGAAAAGATGGCTACCGTCTGAAGTCTACCCACCTTCAATGTAATTCAATAATTTAATTAATTCTACTTATTTTTCTTTAACGAGCAAACAAAGATAGAAAAATAGTAAACAAAAAAGATAATTCAGCAAACAATTATGAAATATAAGTAGAATTAATAAAAATGAAAAAATTCGAAATGTAATAAACAAACCACCGTAGGGCCAATATATATACTTTTATTGTGTTGATTATTACAAAACTAGCTTCGATTAATATGGACTCTTTGTCTTTAGGCTCGGGTAGGCAGCACTATCTTTACATGTATATCTCCAGATCTTTTTAATTATTAATTTTTGTTAACTCTATACAAAGAGTTACTTTATGGTGAAGTCACGCCGCCCTGACTTCTCAAGGTCAATCATCATTCAAAATATTATGACAATTTCAGCTTGGATATCCTTGAAAATTTGGTTGATTACCCCCACATTATCGTATTGTTTGTGTTATAATTATATATAATATATAAACCAACTTAATTAATGATATATATCCAGTATTGAGTATTTACAATTGATCAACTTGGCTTGTATTTCTTGTTGTTTAACAGTGATTTAGATGATTAAATATTCAAAAACTAACTTATTAAGTATTCAATGTTATTAGTGATAAGTGTTTGACTAATGGGGAACACAACAGAATGAACTCACGTGATCTGTTGAAGCCTATAGTCTGTAGCGTTTGAAAAGTGATTACAGATTTCGAAAACAAGCTTCTGAAGTGATCACCACTACTAGCGATTCGTGTTTGTAATTGACAAATTTAAATAACAATAAGGCGAAACCCTTGCCTCATCGTAAACCCCTACGGGTTTGACACATTTTACTCCCCTGGTGTGTACAATATACTCTTGCCCTAATGGTTATTAAGCGTGAATCGCGTGAAATGTGATTTTAGTTACTCATTTAATAACAGGCTTTTGCTGTAAGTGGACGGTAACTTGTGACCATTAACTACTACTTAGTCTGCAATATCAGATGGCTGGAATCAGACGTTAACTGGACATCTACCAACAACTACCTAGTCAGATAGCTGGAAGCTGACATTAACTTATCATCTACGAACAACTACCTAGTCTGTGTTATCAGTTAGCCGGAAGCGGACATTAACTTGTCATCTACCAACAACTACCTAGTCTGCGATATCACGTGGCTGGAACCAGCCGTTAACTTGTCTTCTTCCAACAACTTACCTTTCGTCTACCTTCAACTACCTAGTTCGTGATATCAGCTTCTGCCGGGAACGGACGTTAATTTGTCATCTACCAACAAATTCCTAGTCCGTGATATCAGCTTCTGCTGGAAATGGAATTTACATTTACACCAACCCCATTTATAAATTTACTAGTGTCATAGGAGCCAATAACACCACGGAGTCAAGATGGAAGACACTTTACACGACTTAAAGGATATTGCTCACTCGATAGATCATTTGATAGAAAATGGGCCATTGGAGACCAAAGTTATCAATCCGGAAAATATTGGTTACGTCTCTGGACTATGTATCCTTGCAGTTTTTGGAACCCTGGGTAATGTTTTAATTTTGATAATGTTCTCTAAGAAAGAATTTTCTAAAACGTCATATTCCATATATATCAGATCCGCCGCAATTTCTGATACAATTTTTATGTTGATGAACATTTCTGAGGACGTTATGGACCACGTGACCTCATACTCGCCAGACCAGTTAATGGCTACGTCGTATGGTTTCTGTATCTTTTGGTCCGTAACAAAGGGAACGTTTCGTACTGCTTCTCCGTGGATTGTCGTAGCCCTAGCTCTAGATCGATGTGTTGCTATATGGAAACCCCTAAACAGAACGCGTTATTGTACAAAAAAGACAGCAGAAATCATAACGGCTATTATTATTTTAACCTCTCTCGGTGTGGAATTAGGTTTGGCTTTACCATTCACTACAATGTTAATTGAAGAAGGATACATCATTTGTGCCGATACCGGGATAAGTGGAGAGTTGTCAACTATCAAACGATTGGTTACAGAAACTGGTTTACCGTGTATAACCATGTTGATTCCTAATCTACTCGTCATCATCAAAATTCAACAAAGTCTCAAATTCAGACGGTCATTCTCAACGGCCAATGATCAAAAGGGAAAAGTGGCCAAATCAGCTCGGCCATTGTTAGTAGTGTCATGTTTGGCCTTCATTACTCTACTTCCTATCTCAATCACGGAGGTGGTCGAACTTAGCAGAATGAACCAAGAAGTAGTGAACCATGAAGGCATTTATTACGATGACTATTACCATAATGACGATTTTGATCATGATTATCCAGATTTAAACAGAAACAACAGTCATGGCAGAATGTTCAATGACAGTGTTTTCAACTTTCCGAATGGCACATTAGATAACATCATATCAAGAAATTCTTCTGAAGCAAACGATGAAAGTGTTGACTCCGACCTGATTGAAAGCACCAATTTGAGAGCTAATGAGAAAAGGAATATGACTTCGGACCTGATTGAAAACACTACATTTGGAACTAATAATGAGAATAATGTGAACTCGGACCTGTTTGAAAACACTAGAAGAGATATAGAAGATGCGGATGATGGTGTACACGACGAAATGAACGAAGATGATCTGGAAAAGCTGGAGGAAAGGGGAGAGAACCAAGAATCAGAAGTTCAACATCTCGGACTCGAAACGAGAGAAGAGAATCTCAACGACGAAGATGAAGACGAAGACGAGGATGAAGATGATTTTGAAAATAATACAGACAAAAACTTACTAGATACGATCTGGAAGGCTTGCAATTTTATCTACATGTGTAATTTTAGTCAGAATTTTTATCTCTTGATGTTAAGCTCTAAAAGATATCGCGCTAGTTTGTTTAAAATGTTTTACTGTGGACGAAAAAAGTATGCGTTGGAAAATCAGCCACAGACCGAAACTATATCATCTTCTGTGGAAACGTGAATTCCATGAGCACTTTTGAGTTAAGTCACCGCATGCACTGTTGTGTGCACCTTTCTGGAACACCTGATTCCACTGAGGGATTGAACTTAGTTGAACCTTCAGTCATTACACATAGAGCACCATTGGTTAATTGGACCGGCATTTCCTTGGCTGCATTGAATACACGGTGATCGTGTATTCTAATCTCGGTCAACCTGTGAAAATCTTGTGAAATGAAATAAATCAACTGTTAGAAACGACCCTCGTGAAACTGCCATAGCGGCATTATCTTAGTGGCATTCATTATCTATTAGCCTCGCCACATCAGATTGGGACCATTTGCAATGGCGATCGCAAAGCGGTAAGCTCACTCTGAGGTATTCCGTAACATCGCATGTGTGACGGGGATATTAGTTACGTTCATTATTTTAGTGTTATGCATTATCTTAGTAAATAATCTTTAATCTTAGTGACATTCATTATCCCAATTACGTTCATTATTTAGTGACATTCATTATCTTAGTGTTATTTTACTATCTTAGTGACATTCATTATCTTAGTGTTATGCATTATTTTAGTGTTATTCATTATCTTAGTGCTATTCATTATCTTAGTTAAAAGTATTATTTTAGTGACATTCATTATCTTAATTGCGTTCATTATCTAAGTGTTATTTTACTATCTTAGTGACATTCATTATCTTAGTGTTATTTTACTATCTTAGTGACATTCATTATCTTAGTGTTATTTTACTATCTTAGTGACATTCATTATCTTAGTGTTATTTTACTATCTTAGTGTTATTTTACTATCTTAGTGACATTCATTGTCTTAGTGACATTTTACTATCTTAGTGACATTCATTATCTTAGTGTTATTTTACTATCTTAGTGACATTTCACTATCTTAGTGACATTCATTATCTTAGTGATATTTCACTATCTTAATGACATTCATTATCTTAGTGACATTCATTATCTTAGTGACATTCATTATCTTAGTGACATTCATAATCTTTAAGATATTCATTATCTTAATGACATTCATTATCTTAAAGACATTGCTTACAGCCATGTAACTTAATGTATAGATGTTATTTTCCAATCTAAAGTAACATTCAATGTATTTCAGGTTTTTTTTTGTTTTTTTTTTTTACATGAATGTTTTTTCATTTAGTATCTTGATTATATTTCATCAAATATTTAAATCACATGCAACTTGTTTTAATTTTTTTAAAAGTAATAAAATGATTTTAATATACTTTGAAATTTTATGCCCCGTGTTTCTGCATAGTATATCAAGGTTAACGGAGGCGGCGAAGGCAATTTCCTGTGTAATAAATGACAAATTGTTATCATTATCAGAGTTATTATTACCAATAATTTGAACAAAGTCTATGGTCTAATCCTTTCTAGTTTTCACCTTGGAATAGTCCACCTAAAACATTAATAACAATGATATTTTTCTGATACACTTATCTCACGTATTTTGAATGTCTACCAAACACAGTCCATCTTAAATATGGTGTTAAATGGTGATTTCAGATGTATTTTGAAAATCCACCAAAGAAAATCATAAAAAATTGCTACTCATTTCTCTTCTTCACAAATTTTAACAAAAACTTGTTATAATTGGAATGCGAAAGGAACTCGACCAATAAGGTAATAGCAGCCAGAAACAGTCCGACCAACAGGAAATAAAAAACACTCTGTAACGAGGCTAAGTCTATAGTTTTGGATTCTGCTTGATGAAAAGCAGCACACGCCTCTCTTCGCCACCATTTTCTTCTCAACGTCTCTACTAAATGACTTTCAAGGATCATCAACGACCTGAAAAAAATGTGACGACGAGAATGACCGCACAGAGGACCAAACATTAGATGTGTCTCTCAAAGGCATCCTTGAGGCCAGGGGTACTGCCAGAGGCCCCCAAAAGCAAACGGATTTCAAATGACCTGGGAAGACATTTGAGCATTAGATATCAAAATAAGACATATCACAGGCCAGTACAGACTGAATTCAAAATACGGCAACTCTGCGGGGGGTCTTATAGTGGTATATTGTCCTAAGGAAACTTTCTCAATAAGGGGTTGGGGAGGGGGGGGGGGGGGGGGGGGGG